CTTGAGACGTGTCAACTGCCCCTGCAGCGTGCACAGAGCTGAAACCTTTGAACATTCTCTAGTCTACGAAGTTACATGTGTGTAATTTTTGTGTACCTTCTGGTTATAAGGCAAACGTAAGCAAATACCGAGGATAACTAAAGCGACTGCCTAAGAATTTAAGTAGGACCACTGCCAAGAGGCCTTCTCAGTCGAACCAGGAGAGTCTCGGATGGAAGTTCTCGCGGCCGGCCTCCTGGGCTCCCCCTAAACAACGTCCTGGCGGGCAGGCAGCGTGCGTGATGCATCTCCGCAGCAGCCGCAGGCCCCACAGCAGTGGCTTGCACATCGCAGGCCCTTGATAAATGCTCGCTGAATTGGCCGAACCTTGGTTTGTCCCCATAATCCACCACCCCAAAAGCGCACAGATAATTACTTCTTGGAGAAATTCCAGCTAGTGTTTGATGTTACCTGGGTGGGTTTTTTCTCTCAAGAGCAGCTCTGTAGGGTTGTTATGTTTTTTTCCTTTGACCTTAATGTCATCGACTTGAAAAACAGCTTCATACCAATTCCTACTGGCGCACGCACGCCGCAGCAGGGGCAGGCGCCGTTGGAAAGCCGGTGCCAGGATCTCTCAATTTAGGAGACAAGTCGTCTCTCCTTCTGAACAGTGGCTGAGAAAATGCACAGTTTGGTATTTACACAAGAACTAAAGATATTTTGAATGTTTTACTTGATTTTTTTTTTTAAGAACAAGGTTTTGTTCTTCTTTTTTTAAAGAATTTAATGTTTACCACAAACCAGGCCTTCATTCAAAAGTGACCCTGCAGTTTCCTGTATTTAATAAAGGTGTCCACTTACAAAGTTAATTTGGTAACGTACTTTTAAAACTTCAACGGCAAAAATGGTGCAATTGAAATGAATCTGAATAGGAAAAAACACTCAGAAAGACCAAGGTTTGGGTGAAAGTTAAATTATTTCATACTTTGCACAGCTTGGAGTCATTTTCACGTGTTATAGTTTCGATCTAAGCATTAATTTAAAATGGCCTTGACCTCTGAAACCCTAAATTTAACAGTCTTCAGAACAGAACAGCCTTTCTCTTCTGCTTTATGAGCAAATGAACCAAAACACTAGGGAAGGGTACTGTCTGGGACTTTGAACAAGCAGATGAAATACCGTTTGATGTGCACAAACATTAGAGGCCCATTTTGATTGAATAAAAGGATGAGTCTGTTTCATATCCTGTGACAAAACATTCTCCCTTTCCTGAAAATATTCCGTCATTCCAACAATAGAGGTTGGTTGCTTTTCTCCAGGGGGCGGGGCCTGGGGTGGGCAGGGTTTCTATGACGAGGAGTCACCTTCACTACTCAAAATGTGCTGTGGTGGGGGATTCAGCGGGGTGGGGGGATCTTTGACGTCATCGAAACATAAAACTGCATCTGAAACAGCAGGTAAAGGATATAACAGCAACAGCATACATTCTTTATTTGTAATCTTGCAGTGCCCTCAATCTCTGCAACACATTAAAAGCTTCAGACAGATGGTTTTATAATACTTTACCGATACTTCAAAAGCCTGAAAAGCCTTAGCAAGTTAAACCCTATCACCTTAAATTTCAGAAATGGCTGAACTCAATCCTTTATTTTTCAGACTTCCTCAAATTTTCATTTGTTTTCATTAACTGACAAATAATGAGGAATTTCAGGTCCCTAGCCACAAAGAAAGAAAATTTTCACCTTTCCAGGAGCCCCAAAAATGAAAAGAAAAAAAAAATCAGTTCCAACAAAATGCTGTCCATTTTTTTTCCCATTTGTTTTACAAAGGAAAGAAGCCATTTACAATAGAATGCTACAATTCCTGTACCTCCAGAGTCCCACCATTGGAAGTACATTCAGATTGTAGAGCTGACCCTTCCGCGACATCCATGTTGACAGTATCTGATTTCATGTTTGGCTGAGGCCCTGAAGCCCCAAAAGCACCAAGGGGAACCCACACCTACTGCTCGGCTACCGCGTCCCTCTTCAACACCGCTCTCCGGGGCGAGCCCTATGGCCGCTGGTCCTTTGAGCAGGACTAAGGGAGACCTGTGTTGTGCCTACCGGGCATCCCTTCTCCGACGTTCCTTTGGGGGAACTTCCCTAGTCCGGAGGTACCGCCATACCCCTTTCCAGGAAAAGATACCTGGATCCAAGCTCAGGCAGCAGAATTTGCTCAGAGAGGGGCAAGTGCCTCTGAGCGCCCCTGTAAGGACCGCCCTGAAGCTCGGGGTGGGGGCGGGCGGGGGAAGCTCTTGCTTTCTTGCTAGGAGTAGGCTGGTAGCAGCTTCTAGGAGCTATCACGTAGAAACAACCTGTTTGAAAAGGAAGCCCAGACCAGAAAAGAGATCCCAATAACCTTGACTGATGGAGCCAGCCATCCTTTAATTGGTAAGACCTACCCACGGGCTTTTTGCATCAACCAAATAAAGTTCTTAGTAAGCCAGTTTGAATTGGTTTGGTTTCGTCACTTGCAGCTTAAAGAACCCTGAGTCTAACAACATGGCAACGCTAAAAATAAACGGGACTGCCTTTAGGGTTTCTAATGGGTTTTCCTCCTGGTACGCGCCATCTCACGGAAGCCTTGCCGTTTGGGAAAACACAGATCTCTCAACATTAAAGGCACATCTATTATTTTTTGAACACATACTATGCAAAAGAGAGATGAAGCATGCCGGCGGGGGGTGTCAATCTGAAATATGGTAGTCGGGAGGTCTCACTTCCATGGGATGGAAGGTTACATACATATCTCCGGGCACTCACTAGATATCCGCCAAATGAAAGGATACACAGGGTCCAGAGCAGCCAGGAGGGGGTCCTTGCAATAAGGCCCGGATGATAAATTAGCAGGCTCTTGAAAGAGCCCAGATCAGAGATGGTGAACCCCAAACAGGTGGTGCTATAAGACGGACTCAAACAATGGGACACAGAGATGCAGTCAAGTTAGATGGTGGTGGGGAGGGCAGGGGGAGGCGGGGTGTGCGAAGGGGTCCCTAGCTGGGTGCAGCTGCTACTGCTGAAAAAGAGAAGGAAGGAAGGAAGGAAGGAAGGAAGGAAGGAGACAGTGTGCGGGCCAGCTACACATACTTGTGGAATTTACGAGTATTAGCCAAGAGGTCCAGCAGGCCCTTAGAATGGCAGGTCTGGGCCGCAGAGGGGCTGACGCTGGAAACACAGGATGAAGGACACTGGCATACACACAGCAGGCCAGGCTCCCGCACTGCCCTGCGGGGCCTCACTACGGAGAGAAGAGGAGGGGGCTGGCCACCCTCGCCCCCTGTGTCATCTCAGGCCTGCTGGTGAGCTCCACGGAAACAGGCTTTGTGGGGAGGGGGTCTCAGGAAATATCTGAAATGCCAGGCTGTGCACAGCCCCAGCCCTGAGAGCGCGCCGCTGGCTCCGGGCGGGTCTCTCCAGGTGCCCTCTCGGGTTAGAGCCGCCAGCCTTGGCCGCGCCGGGTGTAGCCTCATTACTCAGCTTTCGCCTCTTAAATTAGTTCATGCTCTCACATTAGGTGTAATCGCAGCTGGCAACGCTTTCTGGATGGAGATGTCTCAGAGATGAGTTGAAAAATATTTTTGTGTGATTTTAATTAAATGTAAAATTCCCGGCTGTCCCCCTTCCCCTCCCTTTCTCCGGGCCAAACCCAGCGACCCGCAGCGGGCCTCCCGACGGCGAACCGCGGGCGGAGTCAGAGATAGGGACCCCTCAGGTAACTCTTTAAAAAACCTATCAAAGTCTCAAAGTAACAAAGGGGGTTGAGAGCAGAAAGGCGTAGCTGCTGGCGATTGCAAGGCAGGTCTCCGGGCTCGGGGCCCAGCGTACCCTAGGGGGCGACAGACGCCCGGAGGACGAAAAGAGGTGCAGACCTTCCCCGCCCCACATCTCTCCGGATCCCCGGGCTCGCGCCTGGCCGCCGCCAGTCACACCTCTGCGCTGGCTCGGCTGAGCCCTCAGGTTCAAGGTCGCCCGGCCGCGACCAGAGCGCCACGGGCGCGGGCGGGCAACATCCCAGCCAGCCTCAGTTTGGGTCCCAAGCCGGCGCTTTTGCTTTGGACTTGGCTGAGAGGTCCACTCACTCTCCCCTCCACCGCGTTAAGTGCCCGCGTTCATCCTCCAGCTCTCCGCCTTCCCTCACCCCAGGTTTCCTCTTCCCACCTCGGTTGCTCCTCTCTCCTGCCACCCAGCACAGCTGTATTTTTACATTCACGTTTGTGACGACGTGTGTATGTGTAAAGTTCCAAATCAATGCCTGACGCAAAATTTCACTCAGGGTCAAAATTACCCTTGAAAAACACTCAAGGTAAAGATGCGCAGGTACCCGGGGGTAAGACATGCTATAAAAGTGCATACAACATAAAAAATAATGATGCAAAGTATACAGTGTTAGTGCAAGAGAAAATGGTATCTGGCAAGTGAGCCTGCGCGCCACGCCAGTGTACTTGTTACTGCCTTCACTGGCCTGCGGGGAGCACGAGGGCAGGCCTCGTCTGATTTTGCCCACTGCCGCACCCTCAGCGCCCGCCCCAGTGCCTAGCACTTCGTGCGTGTTCAGTAATCTGGCCTGGATAACTGAACCAACGAATGAACGAATGCAGGCTCGACCCCGACTCCGCGGCCCGCAGAGCAGGCGCTCGAGGAGGCGGACGAGAGCGTCGGGTCCAGCCCCATCCTCGTGGCTCTGGGCCGGGGAAGGTGAGCGCGGAGACACCTCCCTCGAGTCCCAGCCAAGCCCGCTCCGGGCGGCAGCACGTGCGCCTCCCCCGGAGCCACCGCGCACGCCCCGCCCCGCCCCGCCTTGCACGCAAGCGCCCTGCAATCGGTCGCCCGGTTAGCCCGCAAACCCAAGTTCATCCGCACGCCGGCTGCCCCTCGCGCCCGCGCCCGCTGGGGGGCGCTCCTCTCTGCCCCGCGCGCCCACATCGGGCGCCGCACGCCTCTGCGATTCTTCTCCCGACACAGGGCGCGCGCACCGCCTACCTGCGGGCCGAAGAGGGAGGCGGGAGAAATGGCTGAGGGCCGAAGAAGACCACGGCGGGAGGCGGCAGGCGAGAGAGTAAGCGGCCGCAGCGGGTGGGGCAGGCACGCGCGCGCGCCCGCGCGCGGCCCCGGCCCTCGCTCCCTCAGTCGACTCCGGGCCAGAGCCCAACCCTGCTGCCGCGCGCCGCCCGCCTCGCCGCGCCTAATAACATCGGCGCCCGGGGTCAGGTGGCCGCGCGCGGACAGCGTCGCCATTGGCCCGGCAGGGAGCGCGGCGCGCCAGGATTGGCTAAGGGGTGGAGCCTCGGCCGGGGCCGGGGCGGGGCTGTAGAGGGAGGCGGGCAGGGAGGTGACGGGGGCGGGGCCAGGCGGCGGTCCGCGCCTTTGTGCCCGGCGCGCGCTCTCCGCCCGCTCCGGCTGCAGCGGCGGCTGCATCAATAATTCAGAGCGGCGGCGGCGGCGCCAGCGGCGGGTGCGGGCAGGAAGCAGCGGAAGCAGCGAGGACCGAGCGGCAGCGGCTATGCATCCAAGTGCGGCTGGGCAGCCGCGGCTCCCCTGAGGCCCGGGCGGGGCTCCGGGAGCATCTCGCGGGGGGCACGCCTGCCCGGGAGTGCAAGGAAGAACAGGAGTGTCCAGAGCGGTGTCGGCGGACCTGCGCACGGGGTTGAGGAGGGGGCTCCCGAGCGGGGCTGGGGCGGGGGGGCGGCTGGCGCAGGCAGCCCCCGGGGTGGGGGGCGGGGTGGGCGCCGGCGGCGCGATGCTGGGCGTCGTGGAGCTGCTGCTGCTTGGGGCGGTGTGGCTGGCGGGCCCGGCCCGGGGGCAGAATGAGACGGAGCCCATCGTGCTGGAGGGCAAGTGCCTGGTGGTGTGCGACTCCAACCCCACGTCCGATCCCACGGGCACAGCTCTGGGCATCTCTGTGCGCTCGGGCAGCGCCAAGGTGGCTTTCTCTGCCATCAGAAGCACTAACCACGAGCCGTCCGAGATGAGTAACCGCACCATGATCATCTACTTCGACCAGGTGAGTGCTCCATGCGGATGGAACTGGTAGGGAGTAGGGGAGAGGTGGAAAAGGTGGATGCCCGATATTCTCCAAGGTCTCTGCGGAGGCGCGCGCGGCAGGAGGTCGGGTCGGCTCTCGCCTACTCCCTTTCGCCCCCCTCTCGTTGTAGGTACTAGTGAACATCGGGAACAACTTTGATTCAGAACGCAGCACTTTCATCGCCCCGCGCAAAGGCATCTACAGTTTTAACTTCCACGTGGTAAAAGTCTACAACAGACAGACCATCCAGGTTAGCCGCCACTTCAGGGGCCGGCCTGGCCCCGGGAGGGGGCTCCTAGCCGCTAGAGTGAGGGGCCCGTATGGGGGTGGGAGGTAGAAGGGGCAGCTACATGTGCCCGGGCTGCTTAGAAGGACGCACAGCAGGGCCTCGTCCGTCGGTGGCTTGGGCTGTCCCTTGCTTCCCCTGGCGTCTGCCCCTGGGACCTAGCCCCCTCCCCAAAGGCAGAGCTTCCCTCTCTGCCTTCTGGGCTCCTCCAAAGAGGTTCTCACGCTTTGCTACGAGACTCCAGGGATTTCCCGGAGAGGTAGCTGTTAGCATCGCAGACGGTTCGCGCTTCAGTAAGATCTCCCTGACCCCCGCCTGTAGCACAGCACGGCCCGTATCCCCGAACCCGTGTTCCCGCTGCGAAGCCTGCCAGTGGCCTAGGCGAGACGCCTTTGCGCGGGCTTTCAGCGCCGTGCTCAGGGGGCCTCCGGCGCGCCTTTGCGGGCCCGCTCTGGGTTTTGGAAGGAGCAGCGTCGCGCCAAGCCCTAGCGGGTGAAGGGTGGAGAAAAGCGCAGGGGCGTAGCGCCACTCCCTCCTGGCTTCGGTCCGGTCCCAGCCAGCTCTCTCCGGCTCCCCAGGTTCCCAAAGCTGTCTAGGGTTCCTTTGGGCTGGGAGGGAAGGTGGACCGCGCGGCTGGGAAGAGGGCGCGCGCGGGGCCTTTGGCTGCCGAGGCCACCGCAAGGGCAAAGCCCAGCGGTGGATGGCGAGAGCGGCTGGAGCCTGACGGGGATGGAGCCTGGGGTTTGGGATGAAGCGCAGAACGCGGCTCTGCATGAGGTTTCTGTTCAGCCAAAAAGCCTTGCGCGGCTTCTCCACCGTCTCCAGTGTGTCCAGCCAGGCAGCGAGGGCCAGGAGGAACCAGGGTTTTTTTTTGTTTGTTTGTTTTCCCAGAAGCGCCAAGAGCAGAGTCGTCCGAGTTTCCACTGGAGCCTTAGGAGTGGGGGGGAGGGGAGGGAACTAGGGTCTTGGGGCGCGTAAGCCACCAAAGGATTCCGTAAACTGGATGAAAGAGGGATTCGTGGGGCTGCTCAAGGAATGAAGGTGACCCGGTTACGGGGCACATCCACCCTCTCACCCAGACGGGCACCTTTTGCCCCCACTAGACCCCCGGCAGTAATCCGCAAAGCCCCGATTCTCCCCGCCCCCCCCCCTCCCTACGCTCCCAGGCCTCCTGGGTGCGAGCCGAGCTGCGACGGTTCGCGTCTCCACGGCCGCTTCCGTACCGCCTGGGTCGCAACTCTGAAGCGGGCCTTTCTCTTCCTCAGGTGAGCCTTATGCTAAACGGGTGGCCGGTGATCTCAGCTTTCGCCGGAGACCAGGACGTGACCCGGGAGGCCGCCAGCAACGGAGTCCTAATCCAGATGGAGAAAGGCGACAGAGCGTACCTCAAGCTGGAGCGGGGGAACTTGATGGGGGGCTGGAAGTACTCGACCTTCTCCGGATTCCTCGTGTTTCCGCTCTGACCCGCTCGTCTCCAATCTGAGGCGGAGGCAGGGAGAGGGCCGAGGCCGGAGGGGAAGGAGGAAGAGGCTGACGCCTAGAGGACGGGAAAGCGGCAGGACTTGAAACTTCCCACGCGCTCCCCGCTGTGTCGCGGGGAAAGGTGTGCGCTCAGGAGGTCGGACCACGCTGTCCCTGTATCCATGAGAAGTAAATTCCACTTAGCTCTGCGCACTCCCATTTCCGAAAATAAGCTCACCTCCCCTGCCCCAGTTGCAGTAATGAAGAGAGACGGCCTTGCCATTGTTTCTTGCCCCAAGTTCATGTTCCCTACGATTTATAGAAAAGAAACTTTGTATTTCACTGTATAATGTGAAATATCTTCCTCTGAGGTCCCCTGCTGAAATCTAACACGCCCTTCCCCCCACTTTAGTCGACAGGGGGTAAATTTTTATTTTTATTTTGATGGGGGAGGTAGTTTTAATTTGGCAAGTATTGGCTCTCCTTAAAACACCGCTCAAGAGTTAATTCGCTGAAGATACTTTGTGTCCTTGGCTGCTTGTTAGCAGAGAAAGGATGCACCTTAGTGGTGACTGGTTTAAAATATATATAAAAATATTTATCATTTGTACACGACGAACTCTTCCCAGTGGAAACTGGCCGTGTTTCCGTATTTCTATGTCCTACTCGGAGTGATCGTGAAATCCAAGGCTGCTTGATGTTCTGACGCTTGTCGATGCCCTCGTGTTCCGTGGCTCCAATAACAACCGCCAGGAGGTTGCCCCGGACGCTTCCTCGTCCTCTGTAAAATACATGTGAATAGCCAAGATTTACATTTGCTTTAATCCAATAAAGTTGAAGTGGGACTTTTATTTTTCTGAAACCGCTTTCTAAACTCCGCATCTTACGCAGCGGCGAGGTCCGAGGGCCCGGATGTGAAAGGGCGAGGTCCCGAGCGTGCGAGACGGGCCGCATGCGACCCGAGCCAAGTCGCCGGCGCTGCGGCCTTCGCCAGGCCTGGGGCCCGCCCCGCACTCGCCGGGGCTCCCGGCTGTGGCGCAAACGTAAGAAAATTCACCGAAATCTCACTAGGCCAGGCGGCGGTGCCGCCTGGAAGCAAAGTTTGGGGTTTTCGAAGTCCACATGCATCAGGAATAATCCCAATTAGAGGAGCCGGAATCAGTCTGCCCGGAGCGGCGCGCTCCCTACGCTTCTGGCCCCGGGTGTCTACCGCCGCGTACGCCTCGGTCCCCGAAGCAGCGCTTTCGTGCCACCGCCCCGAATCCCGGGTCTGCCCTCCGTATCCCCAGGCGCCCAGGACGGGCGCTCATCGCGGGACTTGTGATCAAGAGGTTCGTCCAGGAGTTTTGATTGTATCGGAACATAATGTGAAAGCAAAATTGAAATAAACGACATCGTTTTAAGTCTGGAAGTCTGATCCAGTCGCTTTGGCAATGGGGGGGAGGTGGGGCGCGCGGGAAAGGGGGTGGGCCACGGAGAGTCCCCGCGTGGGAGGCTTGGCCTGAATGGGACCCTCTGGTTGTGGTCTTTTTAGAGGCTTTTTTTTCCTGGCCCAATGTTCAGGGGTCAATGTAATGATCTCGTGGAGGGTGGGGAGAAGGGGACATGAATAATAGCATAATACGCGACGTGTCTCAGTTTATTCCTGCGGTTCCTCTGATTGATTCACCAGCCAGCGGCCGCCCTTGCAACTCAGGCCGTGTCTCCTCCGCGTGCATCCTCAGCCGGCGCCGCGCTCCACCGCGCTCCGCTCCGCTCCGCGGCCCCAGCGGCCAGCCTGGGGGGACCGGTGGGGACTTCGGACCCGAGTGCTTTTGTCTCCCCGCCTCTCCGCTCCCCTCCCCGCAAGTCAGTTGCCAGGGAAGCCGAGGTGAGGTGGCAGAGGGGCTCTAGAGGACTTTATTTCTACAACGATTCTTTTTACAAAGAGGGACTTAACAATATTTCCCCCACGTTCTTCGGGTGGGAGGAGAGGCGGGGAGAACTGGAGGGGCAGCAGCCAAACTGGCTCGACCCAGCCGCTCTGCCGCCCGCGCCAGCTGCAGCCACGTTCCCCTGGCTGGTACTCATCGCAGGTGCTCTCCGCGGTGGGACTCTGGCCCACCACCCAAGGAAGCTGTGCAGGGATCGCGCTGGGAGCCCCCCACTGCAGGTGGGTGGTCACCCTTCTCCCTGAGGAGGGGTCAGCTGGGTGGCTGTCCAGGCTGTGCCCCTCCTGGGTGGCTGTGACAAGTCCCCTCTCCCTGACCGTGTGTACGAAGACAGAGTGGGATCAAAACATCTCCAAGACTCCCCCTGCTCCGCGGTCCCAGCTGTCCTCTGACCCCTGCCTTGGGGTCCGTTCTTCTGCCAGGGTTGAGCGAGTCCTGGCAGCCACCCATGCGGGTCCAGCCCCTGAGCGCTGGGCCTGAGCCTGGGCCAAAGGCCCAGGGGAGCCTGCGCCGAAGCGCCCCTCGGAGGCCCTGCTCAGACACCTGGGAGGCGAATGCAGAGTGGGGCCCAGGGGCCCCACGTGGGACAGAGGGGAAGGTTATCGCTTGATTCTGCTCTGGCTCCAGCCGGCCCCTCCCGGGGGCAGGCCCTACCTTCCTAAGGCTCTGATCCGGGCACTGGTCAACCCTCACCCCGGTTCCAGCCCCTCCCTCTGCTCGCCAGTCCCTTCCCTCTTCCATTCCAGCGACCCTTCTCCCCTTCTCCCGTTACTGTCTTCATGCCTCTGCCCCTGCTGTTTCTTTGCCTCCAGTCGACTCTTCCATGTCTCTCCTCTGCTTTGCAAAATCCTAATCTTTCTGGGGATCTAAGCCACCCAACTAACAGGCTGCCTCCTCTGGGAAACGGGTCCTGCCTGGTGGTCAGCACAGGCGCTGCTTTCCCCAGCTCCTCCCCTCCCCCCACCATGGGGCGAGGCGTCTCTGCGCGGCAGTGGGTTCCACAGGCAGCGGCTGCCCACACCAGCAAGTGCTCAGAAGCGCTAAGCCGGCACTCCTGGCCCCGAGGGCGTGGGGAGGTGGGGGTTCTCCACCCTCAGTCTGCCCTTGCCCTCAGGCCTGAGCTTCTCCTTAGCCTGGGCGGGGCTCTTTCCAGGGACCCAGAGCTTAGAGGCCCCTCTGGGGCCCAGCCCGGAGTGGCTGGGCCGCCTCCCTCAGGCGGGACGAAGGCGGGGCGGGGGTGCCTCTGCGGAGGCGGGCTAGGCAACTGTCATCTGGAAGCTGTGCTCCGGCTGGGAGGTCACCGGCGACTCCAGCCGGTGCCTTGGATATTGGGAGGGAGAGAGGAAAAGGGGCGCTCTGAAACCTGCACCTCACGGTGGCTTCCGTTAGTATTTAGAACCCTCCAGGCCCTCCTGGGTCTGGGCCTGGCCTCCTGCTTTCACCTCGGATAACCCCGGCCAGAATAGAGCCTTTAGGGGTCCCAGGACCGCCCCTCACTCAGCCTCGCCCTTGGTCTGAAAGACTGCCCCCCTGCCCAGGTCGCCTTGGTTACTTCCTTTTCTCCTGCCTCAATTGCGAGTGTCACCTCCTCCAGGAAGCCTTCCTCACTTCTGAGAGGAATCGTGGTCACCCCTTCCGGGCCTGCCTCTTTGAAGCATGGTCTCTCTTACCACACTGCCTCCTCTCACCAGTTCTCTGAGGGCAGAGGCTCTGTTCGTGGTTGTATCCAGCGGGTGGGGGTGGGGGTGGGGTGGTGTGGGAGGAAATCTGGGAGGTTTCTAGGACTCAAGGAGCCCAGACCTGAGTTCTAGGCCTGGGTTTTCCAAGAGGCGCATTGCGCTTCCGGTGCCGCTGGGCCAGCACTGGATCCTTGACACGGAGCCGGTCACTGTGGTGTGCTCTCTGCGGAGCAGCGCGGGTCGCACGGGCCCCCAGCTGGCTGGCTCCCTCGCCGCAGCTTCCACCTTCGGCCGGGCTGGAGCAGGAGCGCGGGTGCTGGCCGCGTGGAGGAAGGGCCCCTAATGAGAGCAAAATGACCCAGCCGGAGAGACAGCCGCACCCGTTCCTTAGCTGTTGCCTTGAAGGGGCAGTGATGGGGGAGAATGCAGGGTGGGGCGGGGCGAGGAGGCAGGATGCTTCCGTGGAGGGGCTGGGGTGCTGGGGTGCTGGGCTGGGGCCTGAGGCCTCTGCGGATGCAGAGGGGAGTGGAGAGACCCAGAGGCACCAGGCGCCACATACACTGGGGTTCTGGCATGGTGTGCCACCCGTGGCTGCTCTGTCCCCAAATGCGAGGGCTGGGCCGGGCTGGAAGGTGTGCAGGGCTTCCTCTAGTTGGCCTCCTCTCATCAAGGTGACCCAGAGTCCAAGCCGGCCCCTCTCCGGTCCCTGCGCCCCTCCCAGCTTCCCCCGGTGGTCCAGTCCCGGTCACCACCGCTGGTTTTTTAACAAAAGGGGGAAAACTGTCCCCTGCTCCGGAGGGGCAGCGGTGCCCTCACGCAGGAGGCCAAGCCAGAGGGAGAGCCAGCTCACCGGCCTCTGAGCCACTTCCTGGGGGAGGAGAGAGTCCCCGGGGCAATCACAGAGGTCCTTGGATTGCTGCGCAGGGCCGCCTTAAAGGTACAGCACACTCTCTCCCAGCCTCGGTTGGCTCACACCCCAAATGGGGGCACCAATGCCTGCACAGCAGGGTGGTTGCGCAGGTGGTGCTGGAAGGTACGAAAAGGGCTCAGCGCTGCCTGACACAGAGTAGGTGCTGAATAAACAGTCGCACCCGGAAGGAGCAGTGGACACCTGGCCATCCCACTCTCACAGAAGCAGGACACAAGGGGACATGTAACAGATGGGAAAACTGAAACCAGAGAGAGGGAGGGACACAGAGCAAGGGAAAGGCGGAATTTGGAAGAGGGTCCTGCGGCCTTTCTTCCCCCCTCCCCCAACACCCACCTTCCCACCCCCCTCCAGCCAGTCAAGAGAGCAGGGGATTTTACCCCGAAGCACGTCTCCTGTCCGTCCCTGTTGCTCACATACTGCCGTGGGCCCTTGGGGGCGAGTGGTTTCTGAGTGCAAGTCCTCCCTTAGGGCGTGAGCCCCGTCTGCGTCCCTTCAGAGAGCGAGCCCCTCCAAGGCAGGAGCGGTCACCTCCTCATCTTGCTTGGCCCAGTGCCTCCCGGGGCGCCTGGCACAGGGCAGGTGTCCTGTGATTGCGTCATGGTGAAGCCAAACTGCGCCTGGCATGGCTGCCGGACGTGGGCCTGGCCGGAGAGCCTGCCCTTCAGGGGAACTTCCTGGACTGCTCAGTGTGTCCCCTGCCCCCACGGCTGCCGGGAGCGCTGGCTCGGAAGAGCTCCCAGCGCCAGCCTCCAGCCCCCGCCAAGGCAGGCCTACCTTCCCAGGCACCTGTTCCTGCTCTCTCCTCTTTCCATGTCATTCTGTGCTCAGCCTGTCCCCAGGAAGCCCCAGCCTGGGCCTGTGGAGAGGAGGGAGCAGAGGCAGCAAGGGAGAAGCTGATCAGATGCAGCTAGGTGTGCGGGGCTGGCGTTCGATCTGCGGCCAGGTCTTCCCGCTGCCTGCCCTTCTGGCAACGGGCAGGAGGCAGCTGAAGTCAGGAAGGAGAGCTTCCCTGTTGCCAAGAGAGGGCTTTCTCTGTGTGGCCACAGCCCAGAGCCGTGGGAAGCCTTTGTTCATCCTGCTAAGCTGGGAAGAAGTCAGGGGAAAAGAGCAGCAAGGACGAGGAAGGACCAGGGATCACTCCCTGCCTGACCCAAGCAGGCTCCCCTCTGACCTCCTGCCCTTCTCTTGAACTCTGCTGGTCTGTCTGCAAGGCCTCTCTTCCCCCCACCCATCAGGGCCTCGGCCTCTGTGGACCCCCGACCTCTCCTGTTCAGGTCCCAGCCTGACCCCGCTGCGGGGCTGCGGGGCGCTAAGAGCCTCTCCCCGCCTGTGTGTAGCGCCAGGCACAGCGCGGAACTGGCAGAAGCTCTGCCAGGGTTTCCCCGGATGAACGAGTGAGCGCACACGAGTCGGTGGGCAGGCAGGTGGCCGGGTGGCTGGCCGCATTGCAAGAGCATCTGCCTGGCCACCCCTCCCACCGACGGGGAACGCCACAGAGGCGTCTGCCGGGTCGTTGGCCTTGTCACAGCCCCCTTCTCAGTGCCCAGGCAATTCCTGGAGGAGAGTTGCCCCCAGAGCCTTTCTGGAAGGACTGGAAGAGGAATGACAGGACTTGGGGATGCCCTGGACAGGGGATTCTGGGATGCAGGCTCGGATTCCAGTCCGCCCTGCCCCCCCCCACCCCCCGCCCAGCAGCCACGGTTGCTTTAGAACAATGGAGTCGAATCGTAGTGCTCCTTGCACGCTGCTTGCCGCCTTCCACCCTCGCCCTGAAACAGTCAGCTCCTTAGAGGCAGGGACCCCACTTTATTTTCCTTAAAGGGTAGGACTACCCACCCTTCCCCCA